GCTGGGCATGGTGGTACACACCTTTAATCCCAGCACTTGGGAGGCAGAGGAAGATGGACCTCTGTGATATTAAGGGCAACCTAGTCTACATAGTGAGTTTTAGGCCAGCCTGGGCTATAGGGAGACCTTGTCTCAGAAACAAAAACAAAAAAAAACAAACCAAACCCAACAACAAAACACTCTCCTGACTCTGTGCGCTTCAGTTCTGAGACTCTCCACTAGGGGGCAGTAGTCCCCAGCGTTAGGCATCCCGAGAGGCTCCTACTTCAACAGAACATGGTACGCAAGGGTCCCACTATCCCCACCAATGAGTCATCCCACGGAGCTCACTGTTCCCCAGGCTTCTCAGATGGCCTCTGCCAGCTGCACTCGGAAGTCCTCCCCGCTGTAGACTCCTGGCCTCTCCTCCCTCCATCCTTCTGGGGGGCTGCCCTCTTGATTTCACGTCTCAGTCACAGTGGCACTTTCCCAGGTCATCATGCTTAGCAGCAAGCACCTTTACCCACTGAGCCATGTCACCTGCCCCTGTCCTGGCTTTTCTTACATCTCTTCTGTAATATGTAACACTGCTGTGGGCAAGGTAGAGGCTGAGAAAATCTCTCTTTGTAGTTTAGACCAAATCTGTAATCTGATTCCTTTTTTTTTAAATTTCTCTCTCTGTTAGTAGACTCTTTTTTATTCAGACAAAAACCCCAAACAAACAAACAAACAAACAACAATCAAAACCCAAAAATGTTTTCCAAACACAAGAGGATGTATGGGTAGAAAGAGGCACCTGTCCATCCAGTCGGGAGCCCCCAGCCCATGCGGCAGCAATAAGGGAATCAGGGTAATGGCCCCCAAATAAAAATGGCATGTGTGCACAGAGGGAGGGGTGCAGAAGCCGAAGGGACAGATGAGGTCAGCACTGGGAACACCGCAGGTGGGAGGCCATTCCACAGCATTACTTGTTGATCAAACCACCGTGGCCCTTTGCCCATCAGCGGGACTAGCGTCTTGGCCGTCATGGTGACAGTGACATTGAGAGTGGGGGCTCCTTCCGTGCTCTCGGCACCAAGCCCCATAGTAAAGTTCCCTCCTTGCAGCAGTGAGTCCTGATCACAGAATGTTTCTGGCCTCCTAGTGTCAGCTCACTGGGGGAAGGGGGAACCTGACCTGTCTTGTCTTTGCCAACCAGGACACTGGGCTCAGATGGTGTAATGCTAACGAAGGTTTGCCCTGGGACAGCAGCCCAGAGGGAGGGTGAGTCCTAGTAGCTTATGATGGCCGTGTCCTGACAGTTCCCATCAGACATGCCCATGTAGGCCTTCCACCCCGCCATGGCGCTGCTGCTAGGGCTGCTCTCTGGGCTGCTGCTGGGGTCTGGGACGGGGGTTGGGGGAGGACCTCAGGCTCCAGCCACTTTCTGATACGCAGCTCTCCCACCACTTCCCATGTTGTTTTCTCTTAAAGTGAATGAGCGTTCAGACCCAGTGCCAAGCTGTGACTGGCAGGCCCAGTAACTGGGTGTTTAGTATCATCTGCGGCCTCTACCTAGTAAGTGCCAGCAGGATTCCACCCCGGACACTGCCAAGGGCCCCCTGGGATGTGAAATGGCCTCAGGCTCAGGACTGTCTGCATAGACCTCCAATAGCAACTCAACAGGTGAAATCCTCAGGGGAAGAATTTGGGTGAGAGGGTCCAGAGGAGATTGGGCCGTCACACTAGTGACAATGGCTGGTTGAGGCCCGTCTGGTGCATCACAAAGTGAAGCAGAAGGAGGGGTGGATTCTCCCAGGATCTGTGACACACACTGGATGACACCTGCTCAGTGGTATTACCTCCTGCAATGTGAGAAGTTCTGTGGACATGGGAGGAGGAATTACAGGATACCACAGGCCCAGCCCCTGGCAAGAGAGGCCAGCCCACAGACCCTCCTCCTGGATGTGTCTACCACTCAGTCCCTGTGCCTCAGGAGAGGTGGCCAAGCCTGAGGGTTTCCAGAACATTTTTATCAGAGGGGAAAAAACAAAAAAACAAAAACAAAAAAACAAAAGGAAAAAGCAAAAGGGACCCAGATGAAAAGAAAGATAGGAAAAATAGGGCCAGGGAGTTGGCTCATTTGATAAAGTCCTTGCAACGAAAGCACAAGGACCCAAGTTTGAATCCTCAGCTCCCATCTTAAAAAGCTGGGCATGGTCACATACATCTATAACCCTACCACTTGGTGGTGGAGACGGCAGGCTCCCTGGAGCTCACTAGGTTACCTACCTAGGTTTGGTGACAGATCCTGTCTTGAAAGATGGGGGGGGGTGACAGTGGAAAACACATGGTATTGACCTCTGGTCTCCACATATGCACATGCACCAACATGCACATGTACACACACACACACACACACACACACGATTGTCTATACAGAAAATACTGACATCTTCATAAAAGCTACTAGCCTTGATGATATTAGAGAGGCAGCAGATTACAGATCAGTATCTATATATCACTATATTAATTATATATAAAAGAATCAATTGTATTTTTATACTAGAAACAATTAATCATAAATAGAAGGTTAAAAGCAATTCCACATCATTACAAATAAGATCGTATCTTAATCCATTGCATTGACATAACACAGGTTGATTATCCCTTATTCAAAATTCTTGGAACTGTAGGTGTTTCAGATTACAGAGGTTTTTTTTGTTTTTTTTTTATTCCACAATATTTGCGTCAACTTTATGAAGCAAACATCCTTAATTGGAAAATTAAAAATCTGGAGTGATTCAAAATCTGACGCATGAAAAGGGAGCACTCAAGATGTTTCAGAGTTTGGAAGTGTTTCAAATTTCATAACATCCTGTTCCTCTTCAAATCATATACATCGTTCATCTTTTACAGATTTCAGATTTATGGATCATCTGAGGCCTGTCTTTTTAGAAATAGGAAACACACAGGAATAATACTGATAAATACATGTAAAGCCTGGTTACTGAAAACCACTGAAAAACTGAAGGCCTGTAAAGGGAGGATAAACCTTGCTCGTGGCCAGAACTCTTCAGGTTCCATCTGCCATGGAGTCTAAGTTGGTCTACTGATTTAATGCAGTCCCTCTCAATGTCCCAGGAGCTTAAAAATCATAAAATGGCAAGATGAGTCTAAAACCCCCAGGAAGGAAAAGAATCCAGATTACTCACATGACTCTGAGCCACAGCCAACATTTTTCATTTCAAGCTTTGTACTCAAGAGACCACGCAGCTGGTAGAACAATCGTCAGAAAGATCAGTGGAATAGAATAGAGTCTAAAAATAGACCCACATCTGAATAGGGCCCCTAAGCGGTCGCTACTCAGGTGGCCCTTTCCAGCCTCACAACCATCTCTGTCACCACCTTGTGAAGTCCTACTTTCCCAGAGTCATTCTGAACACGAGGAAGATCTGTGCACCCAGATTTCTGCTGTATCACGAAGCAGAAAGCCAATTAAAATTGGGAACCCAGGGGCCTTTGTGTGTGGTGCTGACAGCCCCAAGGTAAGGATGCCACAGAGGTCAGTGGTGGGGCAAGCTGTCATCCTCTCAGGAATCTGAGGTTCTCCATCAGCCTGGCTGCTCACCATGTGGACAGTGGTAGTGAAACAGTGAAAGATAAAGAGAGAAAGAAGAGGACAGAGACTAGAAGGACACAGAGGTGTCCCTGACATACTCTTTCCCCCGCCCCTGTGATTCGGGGAGGTGTTCCTGCCTGGGAGGAGGCTTAGCTTAGAGGGAGGAAGGACGGCAGAGCTGGCACCAGAGCAGCAGGGCTTGAGGGCAGTGCAGGTGCCAAAGCTCTTCCCACAGAGGGAGGACAGAGCAGGCAGCAGAGGCCATGGAGGCCCCCTCAGCCCCTCTGCGCACTGGGTGCATCCCATGGCAAAGGCTCCTGGTCATAGGTGAGAGGACCGTTCCCTGGAGTGGGAGGAAGGAAGGCAGCTGGGTCTTCTGGGGAAGACAGGACCCTGAAAAGAGACACAAGGTTTCTGTTTGGCCTAGAAAGAGAGGCCACGGGGAGGGACAGAGGCTCAGCAATAGGGTGGTCTCAGTGAGTGGGAACTGGTATGTTGGGGTGGGG